ATTGTTATGCAAATTTTTTTATAAAGATTATTATAAATATATATTTATTACACAGTTAATAGAATATCTTACTTTAGATAAATCATCGGTTTCATGTTGTGTAATAGTTGCATCCTGTTCTATATAAAAAAATGTTGGATAATTTTTCAGAACATTGTACTTATAAATTGAAATAAATTAAACCCTATAATTAACTTTGACTACAGAGTATTTGAAAATGCTACATGTCAAATGAATGCTGCAGTGATCATAACAATTAAGTCACTACTGTAAGAAATAATATAGCATAAAGTTTATGAGCTTAAATAATATGTATCATTTATGTATGTACATCTCTCATTAAATGGCTATAAGCAGTGTACGCATACGAAGACTTAAGCAATAAGTCTCATTTCAATTATGACATACATATTACCTTTTTTTTTACGCTTAGCTGGTTCAGGTTTCATAGAAGAAATAGTCTGTTTTAATTCGCTGCATTCTAAGAGCAACGATTCTACCTAAGAAAGAAACAGATATTAAAATATCAAACTCTGTTGTACTGGACAGCATTCTAAATAATCTATTACAATGCTGCTGTACAGACAAACAGAAAATCTACTACAAAAAATTAAAGACATCTGTTATTAACGTATAGTAACCAAAACAATTTTAATTAAGAAAAACATCAAATATTTATTTTTACTTGATTGTCTTTATACTGTAAGACTTCTTGAGACAGTTTCATTATTGTGCGCAGGTTATGAATATCATTGATCTCGTCGATATCACAACTGATTAAAGTAGGATAAAGATCTTCCATGTCATCATCTGTCAATGACGATGGATCCGAAGCTAATATTCGTTCCCAATCCGTTCGCCCCATTTTAACAACTTATTTTACCAATTATTTTCACTATAATCCTACTATTCATAACCTAATGAGTTGTTTGACGTCTTGCCGTTTACAAACACAGCTCACTCACTCCTGATTACCATAGCAACCATCAGCACTACAGCAATCTCTATACACAAGCACCTTTACTTTACGGATTCAGCAGGTCAGTCGGTATCTACTGTAGAAATTTCTTTACATAAATGGTATTATCTAGAGATGTATAGCTGTTTGATAAATACGAGATAGAGCCACTGGCATTTTCTATTAGGAATTAAAAAGAAGCTCAATTCAAATAGAAATATTCTCCAGATCGAGAAATACGGTGACATTTCCCTATTACTTTTGAACCATTGGAGGTATAACAATGAAATTTTCACTAAACATATTTAAAAAATAATCATTCTTAACTTTAGGTAATTAAATATTTTTTGCATTTGTTAAGCAATAATGTTTAATTAATTTTGATTGATATTTTTGATAAATATAGAAAATAAATCTTGAAAATAGTTTTTAATTTAACTGCCAAAATTTTATTACAGTATGGAAAAATAGGATTTTCGTGGATGTTTATTCGTACTTAGTATATGACTAACATCCAAGTGAAAGTGGATTACCTAATATTTATGCTTCGAAAGTTTTTCTTTATCTCGAGTTGTGTTAGTTAATTTTGTTTAAACATTAGATAGTAAAACAGTCAAGAGAGTACTAGAAGGTTTCATTAGGAATGGAAGTTCTTATAATTATCATTAAGCAGCTAGAAATATTAAATGTATCAATAGAATATTTTCTATGTAAGGATTCTTCGATAAATTCGTGTTTTAAAAATCACTTTGTATGTTCGACGTTATTAATTACTTGCGTTGCGAAATGATACGACGGAATAGCCACGGAATTATTTAATAATATCGTTGGCAAGAAGAGTTCTCGTTAATATTAAACATCGAAAAGCAATTAATTTATTGACGAAGCTCGTCTGCAGCAACAATTTCTCGAAATATTCGTGCTCGAAACATTACTCTATATGTCTAATTCTATCAATTAATTTAACCAACAAATTAAATGGCTAAATAGCCAATGAGGTGCTTAACCATGCTTCTAACAAACAGAATTGTAAATATTAAGAAACGAGAAATAATAAATTTATTAACGAAGCTTGACTGATGAAATAATTTCTTGAAACATTCGTGCACGAAACATTACTTCATGTCTGATTCTATCAATTATTTTCACCAACAAATTAAATGGCAAAATAGATAGCGAGGTGCTTAACCATACTTCTAATAAATAGTATTGTTGCAAATATTAAGAAGCGAGAAATAGTAAATTAATTAACAAAAGCAATTCGATATAATAACTTAAACAATTCGATCGATTTATAGAAGTCTCTTGTTAATTAAACCTCGTTGGTACTTTCCATGAACAATTTAAGTGATGAAATAATTTATCGGACATCGGATAGCATTATTGCAAAATAAATTATCGCGAATATTAAATAATTATAAATAATCGAAATTATCGAAATTATTGATCGCCGTCGATCGCGCGATCGTCGATTGTCAAAGTCAGTGGTGGGGGTATTCTTTGTGCACGCACGACTCAAAGTCGTTACTCAATTAGTCGAAACTTGTCTAATGGGGGAATCAGTCACATTTCAGAAAATCTCTTCCAAAAGTGAAATTATTACAAATTAAATGGTTAAGAATTAAAATATAATATAATTTTCAAGGAAAATTAGTGCGTGAAATTACTTAATTAATCAACTTACGTAATTAGTAATTATTCAATTATTTAACTTACTTAATTAACAATTACTTAATTGACTTACTTGATTAATAATTACTTAATTAATTATTGAATTAGTGTACAACATTTAAGTAAATTGGATCTTTTCACTCGTGTCAGGCAGTGCATAATCAATTTTATTGTTCAAAATTTGATCAAAATTTAATTTTCTATTTAACTCGAATATAAATTTACTTAACATTTGACAAAATTATTATTAATAGTTATTTGTCAAAATCGTAATCAACGCGAATTTCCAAATAATTTTCAATAATTGCCAAATCTTTTCCAAATGGAAATTAATATTTTCGATTAAAATCTTAAATGTTTTTATGTGTTATAGAAACTTTTACAGTTCTTGCTGTTGCTTCCTCTCTCGTACTGCTGTCTACTTTTGCTGCTGCTATTTCTGCTACTACTACAAATTCCAGAACCAACATCGCATCGAAATGTGAGTCACATGCTATTATTTTACCAGTAATTCTCTCAATTTTTCGAGTACAGTGACCATATAATTGTTGCGAATTCTATTGTATATCTAGTTAGGATGTTTTCTTTTCAATAATTCGCGTTTTGCGTTTGTATTCAATTGCCGTTACCCTTGCTAATACTTCTGTCATTGTTACTTGCATTACTTTCTTGCCATTACTATTGCCGTTACTTCTCGAGCAATTAAATTCGCGCGTATTCATCGAAACGGATTGATTTTGAAGAATAATTCGAAACTAATAACCCCATTTTAGCTAGGATTTTCAGGTTCTTTATTTTCAGATTCTTTATTTTCAGGTTAATACTATTGTAAGACAAAAATTATGCTCTATATTATCATGTATATTATTATGTATATGTATTGTTAATTGGTCACTGTACTCAACAACAACAGTACTGTTAGCAACAGTAACAGTAGTTCTTGTAATAGTAGTAGTAGTATTTGGGCAGGCTTTGCCGCCCCAACGATCAGCGCAGATGGGCACATCCGCGACTTGCAACAGCGTTGCGAAATAATCTCGCGTTGTTTCACTTCATTTTCAACAGAGATCAAAATTAGCGTCGCGAATGAAACCATCGCGGTTATCATTAGCATTGAAATTACTTATTCAAGAAGCGTCAAAGACAGCGTTGCGAATAAATACGATCGCGAGTCAAGTTAAAAAATTTCGAAGATCATTACAGTCCACTCGCTTTTGCATCTCTGTTCATTGAATTAGCGTTGCGACGACATAATCGCGTTGCAGTAGTTTACCTTTCGACTTTTTTCAGGCGCTCATACTGCAGCTGCAACGAAGGGCCTCGCCGCCCCAACAACAGCTCGGATGGGCATATTCGCGACTTGCCATAGCGTTGCGAATTGATCCCGCGTTGCTGTAATTAATTTTGAACAGAAATCATCGCGTTGCGAATAAAATAGACTTCTTTGAATTATCAAGTACAATAGCTTTGAATATAGCATTGTGAAGTAATCGCGTTTCAACTTTGCAATTCTATCAGATTTTTCAAAGTCTACAGACTCGATCTTTCCAGAAAGTAAAGTAAAATCTTTCGGATTTCTGTTCATTGCATTAGCGTAGCGTCGAAATAATCGCGTTGCCAGTAGCTTTGTTCGACTTTTCAGGCGCCCATTCCGCGGCTGCAACAATGGACCGAGGTCCCAACGATCGGCTCGGTTGGACACATCGCGATTTTTGCATCCTAGCGTTGCGAAATGAATTATCGCGGTTTGTCTTCGAATTAGTATCGAAGTTAGCGTTGCGAGAGATGTGTATAAGAGACAGCAGTAGCTTCGTTCGTCTTTCAGAGCCCATGCCGCAGCTGCAACCCTCCGCAGTGCAGGCATCCGCGATTTTCCTTAGAGTTGCGAGATGAAATTAACAACGCGTTGTGTTAGCGTCGCAAAAATTGCCAACACGTTGTGTTAGAGTCGCGAAATAAATGCCACACTGCGAGTTGCCGTTCTAAGGATCGCAGCATCGTCTCGCAATCGTTGACGATTCCCTTTAGAGTTGCGTGAAAACAAATCAAAGTGCATGGGAGTTTTCACTTCCCCGGATCTGACGAATTAACATCGGATTAATATTCAGACGAATTAACATCGGATTAATATTCAGACGAATTAACATCGGATTAATATTCAGACGAATTAATATCGACCTCTAATTCTCGTGGATTAGCGTTGCGAAAAAGGAGTCAAGCGTTTCTTTGCCACTTTTACTTTGATTTCCTCTGTGGCCTCCAAAATCAAATTGTAATTCTTATATACGGGGTCACAATATCCTTGCGAAGCACTGGACGATCGTCACCACAGGGAGCGAGAATATTTTATTCCTTCCTTCGGGCCTTTTTGGACCAGGTCCGAGCACGTGGTGGAAATGCCCGCAGAACCACTGCGTGGAGTAGGAATTCATTTTTGCGATCCGAAAATTTCCAAGTCGTAGCAGTTTGCGCAAAATCGCGATGCACGTTATTATGTCCAAGTTTTCGCGCTGCTTCTGCCGAGATTATCATCCGCCCAGGGTTCATCAATCGGGAGGGAGAATCATCGGACGAAAGATGAGTCTTAATTAATAATTGTGTATTCCTTAGTTCATAATTGCATGCGTCTCTTAGATAATAATGGCGGGTGTCTCTTAGTTAATAATAGCGTGCGTCTTAGTTCATAATTGCCTGCGTCTTAGTTCATAATTGCCTGCGTTTTAGCTAAGCAGTATTCTTAATTTAAGTTTGTTAGATTTCGTTTCCAATTATTTTCACAAAAATTGCACTCGTGTGCGGGCTAGTTTGGCACTCCTGTGCTGGTCTTAGGTTTCCTATTTCGCTATGTATTCAGATTAACTTGAATTCAATGGTTTTAGGTTCATAACAGAGATTGCCATCCGCCGAGGTTAGATTTCATTTCCAATTATTTTCACAAAAATTGCACTCGTGTGCGGGTTAGCTTGGCACTCGCGTGCTGGTCTTAGATTTTCTAATTCGACTTGTCACCTATTTTGTATTCACACTAACTAGAACTCAATTATTTCAGGTTCATTGCAGATATTATCATCCACCGTGGGATGCGTCTTAGTTTCCATCATTTTCGCAAAAATTGCACTCGTGTGCGGGTTAGCTTGGCACTCGTGTGCTGGTCTTAGGTTTCCTATTTCGCCTTGTATTCAGACTAACTTGAATTCAATCATTTCAGGTTCATTACAGAGATTATCATCCGCCGTGGGATTATCATCCGCCGTGGGATTTTCATCCGCCGTGGGATTATCATCTGCCAAGGGATTCGTCTTAGTTATTAAGTGTATGTGAGTTAGTTGATAT